CCTTGCCCCCCCCTCCCCCCCCCGATCTTGCCCCCTCTGGAGATGCATATTTAACCCCTCCGCCTTTTTTTCCGCTCCCGTCGGCAGTCGCACCGTGTCGTTGCGTGGCCGGTCCGAATTGCGCCGGTAATTCGGTGCCGTGCGTCTGAGACGTGTCCTGACCTGCCCTGACCCTTCTGAGGTCACCTGCTAAAAAATCGACCCTTCGATGGTTCCATCCCGTTCGGGACAGCTGAAGCTCAACGGGACAGTGTCGAGGGACCGGACCGGACCGGATGGCACGTATTGTTCTTCGAGAGAGATGAACGATTAATATCTGAGACCTGGTCTCTGCGAAGAAAAGGCTGCAGGTTCCAGCCGATTGATAAAGGAGACTTTTGCATAATTTAATTACATTAATTGAAGTAAGACTTAATTACATTTTAAAATGTAATTAAATATTGAAATTAATTGAAATTGTTCCATCCACGAAATCTCCCTTTTCCACCTCCAATTAAATATATATGGCTGGGAAATCGCCCAAGAACGAAGGCAAACGAAGGCCAGATGACGAGAAGAAGCGAGACGGAGACTGGAAAGCCATTTCAAAACTGAATCGGAGCCGCCACGATACGTGCGCGGAATCAGAACGCGAGGATCATCGTCGAACGTGATGGACAAAGGCGAAATCACGCGGATGAGGCAGGGCATGCACGTGACATCCATCCGTGGCTTGGATCCACTGATGGCTTGCATCCACGGATGGCTTGGATCCATTGGTGGCTTGGATCCACTGATGGCTTGCATTCGTTGGTGGCTTGCATCCACGGGAGGTTAGCGGGAGAGCGTTCCATTCCTCCGCGGATGAAGGATGAGGGATGAAGGATCCGCAGCAATCCTTTCCTGGAAGGGTCGAGGAATATCCTCACCCTTCCCGGAAGGGCTGAGGAATGTCCTTTTCGTCCTACGCGGAAATGCTCGTTAAAATTCGCTCGCTCGCTCCGTTCTGCCATTGACGGGAGTGAAATGAAATTCCGACGAAGAAAGCGCTTAGATCCGCCTCGGTGCGCGGTATAAGCACGAGGCGACCCCGTATGCAAATTGCAGTTACTGGATCGGGGTGACCCTTGGTTGAAGGAAGGAAAATGTGAGGAGGAAGAAATGAAGCCTTTCTCTTGATTTTTTTTTTCTATGTTCAGGCTGAAGCAGAGATGCCTGAGAGTTTTTGCCCGTGGTTTTTATCGATTTTTGGCAGAACGCCCACTTCTGCACGTTGAAACATCAAATTTAGCTCAAGATTCGCTCAAGATAAAAAGAATATATTTTTTTTTTATGTTGCACTCCCTCCTCGAGAAGCTCCATACCACGACGGCTGTCAGCGCGGAATTTCTCCGTTATGAAGGAGCTGATGGAGAAGAAGCGCCTCCTCCATTATTCATGCCTCCCTGGGGGAGGAGGAATGGCGTCTGCCTCCGCGAGTCAGGGACAGATCGCGCCTCGTGCATTGACAGGGTCGCGATAAGGATGTCACCGTCGTCCGAGGCGGATGCACGTCGATAACTCCTCCACGGTCAAGGATGGACTTGGCAGTGAGCCACCAGATGTCTCTGGTGGTGAACATCTGGTGGTGGGCGGCGGTTCGCTCGGTCTCCGCTGTGGATTCGGCCATCCGACCCCATTCGATTAGAGAAGAATCGTTGCGATTTTCTGGACGCGGCCGAAGGGGGATCGCAAACCAAGACATATGTCTGTCTCGTTTAAATGGTTTCGACATGATAAGATAAAGCTTGACAGCGTGTCGGTTGGAAGAACAACTGATAAAAGTGATACCTATGAAGTGATTCCTTTGAAGTGGTACCTACGGAGAAGTCTGATCGTCCAAGGAACATATCCCGGTACAGCTGTTTTGAGAGTAAAATCATCAGCATTGTATTGACTAGAAAAAAAGGACCATTGGCTGATAACTTCTCGTATCTGGTTTGAAATTCGCTTTTTCGGGCAACACTGCCCGCGCAACCCTGCGAGAGAGAATGCGCATGCGTCCCTGCAGTCGCTTCGACCCGGCCGCTTCCGTGGCTCCCACGTGCGCGCTCAGGCTGCCCCGTTGGAACGATGAAGTCTGGAATGAGTGTGTGTACCACTGTGAAAGCGAGTTTGTGTTGTTAGAATGGGAGGCAGCGAAACGAACGCTTGGGATTGTTGGTGGTTCGGATCTGTGGTGTGCAGAGTAGAAGGAGATTTGCGGAATATCTCTCAGATTGAAGGAATCCTAGTGCCTTTTTGTCATTTTATTTCCCATTGAATCGGTGTTCGATTCCGAGACTCAGTCGTACGTGCCTCTGTTTTCGCCCGGAGACCCAGTTATTCGTTAAAATAGGACTCCACTATATGGAAGCAATTTCCCAAGAATGAGAGTGAAACACCGACCTTTGCTAAAGACCCACTCCAGAGTCAGTCACAGAGCCTTGCTCATTGATTTCCTGGTTGCAGGGCCGCTCAGAGGTTTCCAGGGGCCTGGGACAAATCTAAACTGGAGAACCCTTGAGGCCCTTTAGAGGCCCCCCTTGGGACCCCTTGATACGAGGGGCCCGGGGCAGGTTGCCCCAATTGCCCCCCCCCCCCCTTCTGGGCAGCCCTGCCTGGCTGGTGTATAATTAATTAGTTCATCGGAGCCCTTGAGTAGTAACTGTCATGCCAATGACTTTTCTAATCTATCCATCAATTGCTCATGCTAACTAGCTTCTCTTTACTTTTACTTCTTCAAGCCAGTGATAGTGATGACAGTGCCTCCATAAACCTTGTTTTGGATTGCTTACCAATGGTTGTATTTTTGGTACCCTTCGATTTCTCCTCTATAGATGAGACATTCGCTATGGTCTGAGATATAGAAAAATTAAGTGATGAAGGGGTGACACTGCCTTAGACTCTACTGATCAATTCATTTGGTGTTTGGCTCTCTGTCAAAGGAATAGGAGGAACAAACTAACAGTAGAGCTTACATTAAAATAGGATTGGTGTTTAATGCTATGAAAGTAAATAATTGAAATAATTGAATGGGACGGGGAAAAAATGGATTTAAACATTTAGTCCAAGCTGAATACTTAGCCAATGGTGAAAACACCATGATAAGATGCTGCCAATATTATATGCTACAAGCTGAAACTCTTGAATCCTGTGAGAAAGAGCTTACTGTTGTGGCTGTGGAAAGGAATGACTCAAAGAGAGGAAATAGGAGACATTCTTTGTGATATCATGGCATTTGGTTGAGCTACATCTTAAGAATTTGTCTTTGGTTGACTTTCAGCTTGTCCCCGGTTTGATCCTCATGGCTATTTTGCATCCTGAAGGAGATCCAGGAAAATTTTTTCAGACAAGTAAATGGCATCATTAATGGATAGACTGAATCTGAACCTAAGTATGGCTCCTAAATGAAATAGGACCCTTTTTTTGTTTGTCAACCAAGAAACATTAGTTATTCCTGCTTTCATTTTTAAACTCATAAAAAATTTTTTTTTATAGTGTTAACATTATTTTGTGAGGTGTTTTAATATTGATTGTAAATATTAAAACACCTCACAATATTGTTTCCTTGCTCATCATATTATGTACATGAAGGACTAGCCAATCTGCATAGTTCCCTAATAAACTGGTACGTTATTTTAAAATGCATTAGTATGAAGGATTTATCAAAATGTTTGCATCCATCTGAATCCACTGCAGGTCATATTTTGCCCTAGTTCAGGTGTAAGTACAGTTGCTGCCTGATGGACCTAGGTGAACCCAGAGGACTTGATAGAATGGATGGTGCCACGGGAGGTGGCCACGTTTCATCCCCGAGAGGATGCTTTCCCGGCATGGACACGAATCACTCGCAGTGTTGGAGGTATGCTTGGCCTGGGTTTCTGGCTCTGCCTCATTTTAGTTGCTAAGGATTCATTTAGTGTTTTGTGCACATTGACAGGGAAGAGGATGGACTCATCATGACAGGGGAACTGTACATTGGCAACATTCCATACAAAAATCAGGTACGGTTTTCAGGTTTGCCTAGCCTTTGTTTCTAGGAGCAGTTTAACAGAAATTGATAGTAGAGGCCAAGTCATCTAAATCTAGCCTGGGAATATCAAGCATATTGACTTTGGATGCTGGTGTTTCTCATATTTTCTGGACTTTTGAAAAGTTTATTTTTATTAGGTGTCCAATATGGTTAGAATAAATTAGTGAATGCAAGTAAAGTGGAACAAGCCACCCTATAATTGCTGTCAGGTTGGAAGCTTATAACAAACACAATTCAATGTATTCTTGAGACTCCATAAAGGGAAAAGTATAATTCTGAAATTTAAGAAGAGCAATTAAGGATCATCAATATACCAATTCAGAAGCTCTGCCCTTGTGATACTACAGTTTATTTTTTATTTTTTAATGCAGGATGAAGTCAGGGGAATGTTTGAGGAATTTGGAGAGGTGATGAACTTCTCCGTATTCTCACAGTATCAGGCCAAAGATGGTCAGCTGCTTGCAGATGCTCTGGTGCAATACAAAACATTCGGGTTTGTATGCTGCTTCACTCCTTTGGCTTAAGTTGGAATTCCTGTGTCAGCCAACTTCTGTTGGTCTTTCCTTCAATAAATAAGAGAATAATTAGCCATTTAATATGAGAGATAGTTTCATCAGCAATTGATCAAAGAATTCACTGAAAGGCAGCTGCATGTGGCAGGGGAAAGATTTTCTAATCAGTATTGCTTGTTGTAACCAGTAATTTTATCATGTTCCCACTCCAGGGTCCCAGGTAGAGAAATCATTTTTTTCAATGCAAGAAAACTCACACTCATGTAAGCCTTCTTTTACATCATGTGCTAAATGTAGAACTTAGATGTGTTAAAAAGAAAGAGCTTAGAGGTAGATCTCCCAATCCAATGGAATCACTCTCAGAAGAAACCTTATCAGAAGAAGCACAATGTGGAATTCCCTTAAAAGAATGCATCTTGTGTTAATGATGAACTACAGTTAATTACAGCTGGTGCTTGAGTTCTAATGCACTGCCTTTTAGGTTCTGAGAATGCCTAAAAATTCATTTGTTTTAGGAAGTTGGTCCAACTTACACAATTCCCAAAGTTTAAATCTTCAAATATCCATCTGTTTGATGGATATTTGACAGAGCTAATCTGTTTGCCATTGACCTGGGAATCGCATAGGGATATTTGTCCACGTGCCTTTCTTTCCTTTGTTTTAGGGAGGCACAGCATGCCCTCCATAACCTGCACAACTGTGAGCCATACTTTCTAAACATTCAGTTAGTTGCCATGGAACATGCTGATGGCAATGCCTCTGGTGAAGGTGATAGTCACATGTGAGAACTGCAGTTTGTATTTTGGGACTGGTGTGTAGTGGCATATCATCAACCAATTTTTGCATGCTTTTGCCTTCCACAGGGAGGATAACTCTCATGAGACAAGAAAGTATGGTCGACAACAGGAGGAATATGATATTTCAGAAGCTGCTTTGAGACTCCGTCTGCAAAGTACAAGTGGTGGAACGAGAAAGGACAGCAGCAGCGTTAACTCTTCATCAGCCCAAGGAGGAGCCCCTCCTCTTGATGGATCCAATCCTCCAAGGAATGCTTCATTCCTATTCTGGACTGATCCGGATGCTCCCTCCTATGGTGATGAAGTATTTATCTCAGGAGAGGCTTTTGAGAAGTTTCTGGCCGAAGATGAAAGGGCAGTAGAAGTTGGCACAGACTTGCCGCAGACTCTGCCAGATTTCACCCTGAACTCTGCCTATTTGAGAGAAGTGAATGGACCATTTGGTGATGAGGCAAAATCTATCAGTGTCTATTTGGGGGAAAAGTCTGGTCCTTTGGGAAATCTGGAAGGAAATGGTGAGAAGCCATTTTTTGGACCATGGCCTATGGGCTCATGTTATGCAAAGCAGGGGTCCCACCTCAGCAGAAGTTCCATTGCAGGAGGAGATCGGCTCACTTTCTTGTCTGTGGAATCGGAAAGCCACCTGCAGAGAGATGTTTATTCAACTTCTGCAGAAATCAACTTGCCTGAAGAGTGCAGTGGAGTTGCAGTCACTGTTGATCCAGCACAGAATGCATTGGAATTTTTCGGCAGTGAATTCATGGAGAGTGGTGAGAGAGATGAGAGGCATGTCACACCCCCACGGGAACATCACCAGGACACAGGGCGGCGTTTTTCAACTCCAACCCCGACAGCATCTCTTGGGGAAAGTCCTAGTGGCTTAAGTCCCATATGCCTCTTTCAAGATCATGAAAGGAGTGGAAGTGTCAGTCAGTGATTCTCCGCTTCGATGACCTTAAGTATCACCTGCATTAAGGCATATAAAGGCACCTTCTCATCCTTTGTCGCTGGAAGCTTCAGATGCATACTTCAGTTGATATTTAAGAATTGTTTCAAGACTGTTCCATTTTTATCTCAAAATTGGGGAAACTTTGGAACTGTGGGTATCAGATGGGCACTTTGTGATACGCAGTCCCTAAGCAACATTGGAATCCAAGCAGAAGTGTATCGGAAGGTAGATAAACTCCCCTTTGAGTGAAAAATTAGGCCTATGACTTCAAGAACCCAAGTTGGACTGCAACAAGGCTTCCTACTACAGCTGATGTGTTTCTTGATTCCCAGAATGCCATGAAGTCTCGTTTCAAACAGCAGTACTGGGAAAATTCCATTCCAAGTTTTGTGTGTTTCAGCAGTCATCAAGGAAGGAGAAAGGCACTGAATTGAAGGGCTCTGTGCTAGATAGGGTCGAACTAAAATTTTACTGAAATTGATGTAATGCTCCAAATAATTGAATATTTCTATTTTAACACTAATGGATAATTTTCCATCACTACTAAAATGTATACCCTAACCCAGTTTCACCAACTTTTGACTTGCACATCCTGGACCACTTCAATTTTTTTAACTTTTGTGTTAATCTTGTGTTTATATGAAACTTTCCAAGATTGCACTATGTGGCAGTAGTAATATCCAAGGAAAGTAAGTTCAGAAATGCTTATATCAAAGAGTGCTTGCTACATTTTGAGGACATAATATTCTGTGTTCCCCTGTTTTCAGGGCACTAGTGGATAACTGGCTAAGAGGCTGCAATCTAGCTTTGGTCTGATGGCTCAAACATAGAGTCACTTTCTCAAGAGTAGCAGTTTTTGGTTTTGTACCATCTTGGTCCAATCTCTTCTCTCTCCTGAAATAGCACATATAAGAGTGGGCCTTTGCTAAGCTTCAGATAGAAAATTGCCAGTAATGATGGTGGTTTTACGCTGCAACTACTTTGAAGATAGCCAAAGCTGTAGTCTCAAAACAACTTTCTTAAAACTTATCTCTAGCCATCTACATAGTTATTCATTGAGGCACATAGTCACTTGTCCTCAGGCCATCAACTGATTGTAGTCCTTTCTCCTTCAACGGATATTTGTTCTGTCTGCTGAGATACTCTCAAGTAGGAGAAATTCCTCAAGATTTATTTGCCTGTCTCTGATGTCTGTTTGCTATCTGTTTGTGTAATGATGGATCTTGAAAGTTCATGGGAATTAGTGGCAGCATATTCTGTTCATACAGTTAGGCTTTGCTTTTTACAAAAATTTTTTTATCATATGAAAAAATAGGTCAAGGAAGTGTATTTTTATTTTTTTTTAAGAGTTTTTTTTTACCATTTTATATTCAGTTTAATGAGATGTCAGAAATAAGAGTCATTCATTCATTTCTCTTGGAGTCAAACCACCTCTTGATTCAAGGAGTAATTTTGCATAACTAGTCTGCTCGTTACAATTCTGGTGCTGCAACTGTGTCTTTTGGTTGTATGATGAATTGTATACAAAGTCAACCTTGCAATTTCTCTGTGATCTTCCCATTCCAAGTATCAATAAGTGTTCAAGTCATATTTTTGTAAGTTCAATTCTGTGTTGCTGTCATCCATTTCAATATATGTTATGAAGGGTTCAACACTTCCCTGACCAGGTTTCATGAACTTCAATGGCCTTGGATTGGAAATACATTTTATGATGTTTTTCTGCCTCTTTTCCCTCATTTCGCTGAGCTCCTGGTGGCATAACTCGGGGATTCACTTCTAGACCTTGTCAGATCCCAGTATGCTGCTTCTCCCACCCATGTAGAAGTTCAACAACTTGCTTTCATTTCAGTACTCTTGCATCAACACGATTGTCAATCTCCATCCATTCATTGGAGAAAAGGAGTTGCATCAGCAGTGTCTGCCCCATCTACCCTTCACAACTCTACCAAGATTGAGCAGGAGGAATGAAGGGAAAAGTGACAGCAAAGAGCACTGAGGAAGAGGGACATGAGTGATGTTGGCAGGGTATGAATGGCAACTGAGGAACCACGTTCTCTAAGCTTTCCCATGTTGCCATAAATTCCTTGTCGTTAACCCCTTGTCATCATTTGAGGGCATACACCGTTGTGGCTGCTTTCATCAATCCTTCAGTTAAAATGTTCTCTAAAACTTTATAATTGCGATAGAGACATCAAGTTTAGTTTGAATCGAGTGGCAAGGTTTGTGCATTACCCCTGTATGGTTACTTAGCAGCACTGGTTTAAGTATTGATGACTTGTAAAATGGCAAGTATTTCGGGGAAAAATACAACGCTGAGGGGTTAAGTGCAATTTGCCTGAATGCATAGAATGGGCATGGCGTTTAATTTTAATATTTGGGTCATCCATGGCACTAGAAACTGTATGGAACATCACTGTATTCGAGGAGCATAAAAAAAGAAAGACCTCAATACATTCATCATTTGCACATTCAATTTTAAGTTGAACTGGGATCCAAGAGCTGTTTGCCAATGGTTCTTCTGGGAGTTTGTCCTGCTTAACTGCTGCAGTCTGTGGCCCTCTCACTTAAGTGCTTGGACAAGGAAATGGCCCTCTTAAGCAACATGCGACATCCATGCAACATTGAGCTAACTGATGTTGTGGCAATGTCGCTTAGACGTGATTTAGATGTTTGTAGGCTGACCAAAAAAGAATGAAACTTTGACTGCAGCTCAAGCAGTGCGCATGAAAATCATGGTCCGTTCTGCAGGCATCAACTATATTCACTTTGTGACTCACAGTAAAAATTTCAGTTGTCTTTTAACAGAGGAATTCTCTAGGTGATCTAAAGAAATTGCCATAGTCAGTAGCATTTGGCGCATTCTACTAGAATATCCGTGCTGGAGCGGAGGGCAAACGTGGAGCTCTGAAAATTGTACCCTTTGACTCTTGAGCTTTCGCAGCTGCTGCACCTACATGTAGCAGGTGCTCATAGCAAGTGTCTGTGCGTACATCTGCTGCAAAAAGCTCGAGAGTCTCGGTGAAGGATTTTCAGAGCTTCGTGTTTGCCCACGGCTCCAGCATTGGCATTCCAGTAAAATGTGCCAAATGTTAATAACTATGGCAATTTCTTTGGATCGCCAACAGAGTTCCTTAAATAAAAGACAACATAAATTTTTACCACGAGTCCCAAAGCGAATATCGTCGACTCCAGCAGAGCGGCCAATGATTTCGCCAATGTTCCATTGTCTTATATGCACATTTTGCACGCGCGTGATGAGTTCTTCCTGCCCATTTTTTTTTCTCCCTCGCTTAAAACCGCCTCTGAGTTCGGGGATCGAAGATTGTGTCCACGTATCAATTACGAACGCCAACTTGATGTGGTATTTGTCATGTTCGGCAGATCTTGTCAGTAAAGGAAAAAAAAACAAATGAAACGATATAAAACTAAATATCATCTCTTCGAGCACCAGAAAAATTTCTCGGCCTCAGATGCGATTACCAAGACCCATAGTGACATCCGGCAACGTGGCCGAGAAGCCACCAACTCAACAAATACTTGTATCAGACAACAAATTCCTTGAAAGGCTACAACTGCCCATTAGAGTTGAGGTCATCCAGAGACAAGAATCCAAGCATGGGGCACGTGGTCCGAAGAAGCGACCATGATGGGAGAAAGGCTTGCGGAATCTCCACTCCACCGCACGTGGTGAGCGGAGTCGCCTGCGTGTCGGTCCTCAATGCCTGCGGGTCGGTTCTCGAAGCCCGCGGGTCAGTCCTCAATGCCTGCGGGTCGGTTCTCGAAGCCCGCGGGTCGGCCTTATTCGTTACAGAATGGGAAGCCCTTCCTGCGAGCCGAGAGAAATTTTCCGTCATAAAAAGCACTGTAACCGATCGGGATAAGACTTACCCTAGAGAAAGGGTCAAACAATTTTCGTCTCTTTATAAGTGCTTTGAAATTACCTCGCTCCGGATTCCGGCAGGTTCCGATATTTTCTGGACATCGGCAAGTGGGTCCAGCACCCATCCGGCGACAAACTGAAACTTCACAGCAGAAATGAACAAATTTCCTGTTCGCAACTCTCATCGTTTTAGATAAAAATTTAAAAGCGGAGGATGTCCCCGAACTCTCGGTCGAAAACGTTCCTCTTATAGATTAGCTACTTAGTCGGGCCCAGTCGCAGACTCCACGGATCCAGCGATAAACGGGGAAAATTCGATCGGGTCCGACCCGAGGAGGATCTCCGGACACGACCCGCGGGTCGAGTCGGGAAGACCCGCATTCCGCGGAGGACTCTAGTCGCACTGCGTCAGCGTGAGAGGGAGGAACGCGAGCCGCGCGGTGCTTGCACGGTGTCTCCGGCCGTCTCTCGACTGTCGGCCGGCGAGACAATACCCGTGTCGAAAAGGAAAATTGAAAGCTTAAATTAAGTGTGTGTGTGCAACTTCAGGCGTCTTTCAATGCATCGTCTTCACAATCCCTGCCCGTCTTTTCAGACTTACGCGATAGCGAAGGGGGTCGGCAGGTTAAAGAAGGTCGAGTAGGGGAAGTGCTTGCGTTTTCTCGGCACTTTGCAATCGTCAAAATTCCACCACTGGTCCCCTAGGCACGGGCAGGTAAGTATTCTCAGCTGGTAGGACTAATGTTGTGAACATGCGTCTGACTCAACTTCACCTTTGACCCAGGCACTCGGGAATGAACGGCCTGGGGCACTCGAGGTTTGCGGTACAGGAAGGTTTATAATAAAGGCATCTCCGGACCCAACACGAACTAGGAAGCGGGTATAGTTCGTCACCACACTTGTAATACTTGATGGAAGACACTAAGGGAGGGGAGATTTCAATAAGTTTAAGGATCCAGGCCTTTTGTCTCGATGCGTACGCGTTCCTCTCTTGTTGCTACGGGAGTCGCCATATTCCGAGGCGGGAACAGTGTTGCCAGATGCATATCTTCTCTCTGTCAAGCTGAGTGAGTCGTCTCTTTGCCGCAGTGTCGTTCTCATCACATGT